CATCAGTGTATAACTGGTTGAAGAATTGAGTGGCGTCCTCAAGATTCAACCAGTTATCAAAAATATCATTCTCACAAAGTATCTCCATGTCCTTAGTGGTGTCAATGAGGTAATCCATGAGTTTTGCATACGAAGTGATTCTTGGCGGGCAATTCGGGTAGCATTGCTCGAAGCTGATCAGATTCCGCAAGATTGATTCTGTAGTTTCCTGAAGTAACAGAGGTGGGATCTCAAGAACCCCATTGCTAAATGTTATATCCAAAATGCTACTAGAAGATACTCTCTTGAATTTGATTCCAGCATCTTTCAAACTTTTGGCACACGGGAAGGGCTGCCATCCCAAATGCTTTTCATCCGGTTCGTCGTTTCTGAATGGCAAAAGCAATGAATGCCTCAATAGGTCAAGAATATGCATGATTTTAAGGTCATTGAACTGGTCTGGTGTTATAGAAGGTTTAGAGGATGAAAATATGTTGGCGAAGAAATCAAGGGTTAGTTGAATTAGGGACTTGCCTCCTCCTGGAGGCATGCTCAAGTTAAACAAACAATCGAGCACCAGCCAAGGAATTTGATTTTCTAGCAAAATCAGGTCATGGTTTAAAAATTCTTGTAAACAAGACATGGTAAATATGGGGTCATCTGGATCTTTTGCTACCTCGTCTGCATCTTTGCGGAGCAGCTCAATAATGAAGCAACCATCAAGCACCATAATTTTTACGAATTCTTCAACATTTAACGTAACTGGACCTGCATAATACTCACGGGCTTCTACTTGGACAACCCTGATGGCTTCAATCAGCTGCCTCAATCTTTCCTTTGGCCGTAGGGATCGTTGGAGGATGCCTTGCAAATACTTCAATTTGATTTTTTCTGTGGGTTTCAATTGTTCTGTTTCATGATGAAAGGGCCCAATTGAAAATGCATTGGGGTGATATGCTTTTTCGTTGTGCCTGAGGAGTATTTTTGGGGTTCTGAAGATACAACAATTGGGTGACATGAAGAGGTTATCCGCCATTATATTCTCAAAGGAGGATGCTAAAGATTCAGTATTAATGGTAATGTGATCCTTTGAACTCCGGCTTGCCATAACAATAGTCTTCATTTTCTGTCAGCTTTCCCAGCAGCCTTGCCTCTTTAAATGTATCTTTAGGCACGATTCTGTTCACAAGGAACATGAAAATAAATGAAAAATAGAAGACCACTTGGTCAAACAGGTTCTAATATATATTAATTAAATATTTATTAACCTCGAGAGCTTCGGTAATTCTGGAACTTCGATGATGACAGATTCATAAAACTTAATCTCTTATATTGAAGCAGAATGAGAACTCTGGAGTGTTCACTTACCGGTGTTTATCAAAGTTGTTAGTGTCCGGGGTCGATGTTAATCACCTGATGTCTGCCTTGGGCAACCTGCAGTAATGTTTTTCACAAGCAATCAAGTTTAGGCAAAACGATGACAACAGAAGTAGGTTTTCGTGGTTAAGTGAATGATACTGTAAATATGGTGTGTTTTGGCCATACAAATGTGACAAATCTTCCTGGGGATTGCACAATAGGATTCCGAAGTTGGATATGAAGTTTAAGGAATATTACATTAACATTTAACACCCTTCAGGTTTTTAAAGAAACCAAAAGGTTTAGAAAATTAACAATGACAACCCACAGGTTCTGAAAAGGTAAATATAATACCCCACTAAAGTTGACGGCCCATGTACTAAAATCTGTCGTCCAAATCTAAACCAAATCTATTGTTCAAACTTCAAAGATTAAACTACCCTTGTTTTATAACACATTCCTCTCTCCAATTCCATTTTACTAGTTTAATCTTCCAAGTATATTTAATTCATTTTTTTTTTTAAACATCTCTATTCGAACAATATTTAAAAGAAAAAAATGGTTTCCAATCTCAGTAATAAATATGTTTAAAGAAAATTGTAAATTTAATATTCAGTGTTTCCCAAGATTTAGGTGATTTTTGGACTTTGCATTGTATTGTATCTTCTGTGTTGCTGCTCTTCTTGCTTCTCTTTTTTGACTTGAAAGTGTAAGTGTTACTTTGTTTTAAACATGTGGGATGCGACATAATGTCGTCAAACTTGAGCTGTACCAACTAATTTTCTCCATAAAGTTGTTGAAATGTGTTGCATGAGATATATATTTGGACCCTTTAAGTCTAAAGTATAAAAAAGAAAAGAAAAAAGCAAATTCAACCCAGAATTTATACTTAACTTGTAACACTAAAAACTGATGCATTATCCAATTTGAGTGGCATTTGACAGAGAGATATGGCCATGCTGGGCATAATGTAAAGAATTCGCTTTTGAAAACTCAAAGAGTTCGTTTAATGGTCAAGGAGGTTTACTCATTTTCTTAAGTTTTTGGATTCAAACCTTGAAGTTATCTGTCACAATAATATTGTGATTTACCTAGTTTTTTGGGCTTGTGGGATACTCAATGAGCTTTAGGGATTAGTTGAGGTGCGTGCAAGTTGCATGGACATCCCAGTTACTGAAAAAAAAAAAAATTTCAATTTTTCTGCAATTGGCTAGCATTAGGATTATAAGCTTTTACTTTTGGAATAGGGTACAAAGAACTACTTTATGGATCCACAAGCGTTCCGAAAGGTAGATTATGTCAGTTGATATCTGTAATTTTACGTAATCAAATCAAATCATCTTAAATTAAACAAGTTTCTTGACATATATCTATAGTTTATATATTGAACGGCCCGTTGGAAAACTAGGTGATTCGGCAACTTCAGCAGCATCATTAAGAAGCCAAGACTTAATCCGTTCTTAATTTACATTTAAAATTTCCCTCTTTTATTGTTATGTTGTTAAATACTGTTCTAATATTAACAAATAATAATAATAATAACTACTAACAAAATGTATAATAAGGTATAGCTAATCGTAATTGTTTTATCTGTTGGTAGTTATTGCCTATTGGGACTGCGGCTCATCAACCCATCAAAGAAAGATTTTCTGGATGGATCGAACGTAATATTGTAACAAGTTTCATCTAGGCAATATGATAGTGGACAATGTAACCAACTTGAGTGATCGAATGATTTGATAGAGACTCTTGAGTATATTACTCAAAATATTTTGAGTTCGAGTTCTTCCTCAGTTGTTAATAGGAGTGGTCACTGGAGTTCTTACTTGGCCGATAGTTCTAGAGTTTCAGGAGATTAGTTGAAGTGTGCGTAAACTAACCCTAGTCCGAACACTCCTGGAAGAAAAAAAAGAAAGAAAGATAGCTGACCATGTGCTATGCTCGGCCTCGGGCGCATTTGTAACATCTCCTAAATTGATCTCTATCTTCTTTAGTTGCCAATCAAGTTACTTTTCTCGAGACTAATGGTATTCACCAAAAGCTCAAGCGTCAACAACACCGAGAATGGAATACAAGGTCTGTCATGTCCTCAAACTTGAGGGGTATCAACTAATTTTCTCAACTAAGTTATGGGAATTGTGTTACATGATATATATATATATATATATATATATAAAGTAGAGGCAAATGGTGTCATTGTTAACGATGCAAGTCTAAAATATAAAAAAAGAAAAGAAAAAAAGGCAAATTCAAACGAGAATTTATACTGTACTTGTAAAACTGAAAACAAGTGCAAAGGCAGAGAGAGAGATGGCCACGCTGGGCATAATGTAAAGTTTCCGGGCATATTACGGAATGAGCTATTAAGAGTTTGGGCTGCTTTTGTTTGGCTATTCAAACACTATCCTATCTTAAAAAATAAAAAAAATTGTTTGTTTTAATATTCTTAAAAATTGAATCATATTCTATCCAATTCGAAACATTAACAATTACCTTTCTTAATAAAAGTTTTAAAATTAGCAAAAACAATCCCTATTGCCGTCGCCGCAATAACGATGCATGACAGACTGAATCTCGTTAGTTGTGCACCGATCTTGTCTTTTCTGATCAGATCCACCATAGATCTGGTTTTTTCTGGCTAGATCCATGGTGGATTTGGCCAGAAAAAACAAGATTAGTGCACAATTGGCTAATTCCGGTCGGTTGTGTCGATGTGCCATTCCAACGACTGACGGCCACTATTCGGTGGTGGTGGCCCGCTGTCAATAGTTGATTCGGTGGATGAGAACATTTTTGTTAATTTATAAACTTTTATTTGGGGAGATGGGGTGTGTTTAGCTAAATTAACAAATATAAAGGGTTAAAAATAATCTAAATATTTTCAAAAAATATTTTCTAATAATATATTAAATACATTTTCAAAATCCTATTGTATCCTATTCATAATAAGATTTTAGAAATGTTATTTAAAAAAGTGTAGCACGCGTAGCTTTGAATATTTGGTGATTCAGCAACTTCAGTAGCATCATTAAGAAGCCAAGAATTAATCCATTCTTAATTTTTATTTAAAACTTTTCTCTTTTAATATTTCATGTCGTTAAATAATCCTTTTAACAATCAAATAAATACATTATTGAGATAATCAATTAACCGAATGTATAAGAAGGCATGGCTAATCATTAACCGTTTTATCTGTTCCGGTAGTTTAAAAGCTGCTGTATAGCTCCTTTGGACTTGTTGACCGTGAGTGTTGGTGTAGGTGTTGCAAATACTTCAATCTTCAATTTTGATTTGGTAGCTCTTACTTCTTAATTCATTAGTTTCCATTTAAATATACAAATTGAATCTTAAATATAAATAAAAAAAAAATATAAAGAAAAAAATATATAAATTCTAAATGATAACAAGTTATAACAAATCTTTATACAATTACTCATTTCTTCATCCTACTTCACCAAAATCAACCTAAAAAATTTTCATACGGAGATCTTCACCCTACTTCATCAAAATCAAACTAAGAAACATCTTAATACTAAGCTCATTAGGCAAAACATTTTAATCCAGATCAAATTTCACACCAAATAAAATTTAATCTCTAACTCACAAAACACTTTCCTCAAAAAACAAACAGAAAACAAGCACAAATACACTGATAAGCATTCAATTATCAATTTCTACATTAAACTCCTAGCAAATTAATGGTTGTCACCAAACACTCAGAACATTAAGGCTTTTTATCTCCCACGACACCCAGAATGGAATACAAGGTCTGCAAGAATGCGAGAATAAAAAGGATTGCACCAACTGCCTGAGAAACCATAGCCCAGGGGCTGGTGAAGTTGTGTAAATAGAAAACGCACCATCTGGGCCAGCATCGTTCAAAATGTCTCGTCACTTTCACGCAAATGTCACGATAAAAGAACTGCTTCACATATGTATCCTGGTATAGCTTGTTGAATAATTGCTTTGCGTCCTCTGGATTCAACCAATTATCGATAATATTCTTCTCCCTGAGTATCTCAACGTCTTCGTCGGTGTCAATGAGATTATCCATGAGTTTCGCATAAGAAGTGACTATGGGTTGATAATTTGGACAACATTGTTCAAAGCTGATGAGGTTTCGGAGAATGGTTTCAGTTGTCTCTTGAATTAGTAGAGGTGGAATCTCCAGAACACCATTTGCAAAGTTTATCTCCAAAATACTATCTGCCTCTCCTTTCTTAAACGTGATACCGGCCTCGTTGATCTTTGTAGCACAAGGGAAGGGTTCCCATCTCGTGGGTTTATCATTGAACTTATCTGATGATAATGGTAAAAGCAAGGAATGCCTCAACAAGTCAAGGATATGTTTGATTTCGATGTTACGTTCTTGGAATTTATTTGGTGTAACAGATGGTTCATAGGATGAGAATATATTACCGAAGAATTTAAGGGCAAGGTGGATTAGGGATTCGTCGGGAGAAAGTTTGGTCAAGCTAAACAAACGCTCAAGCACCATCCAAGGAATTTGGTTTTCAAGCAAAATCAGGTCATGGTTTAAATATTCTTGGAAACAAGAAATGGTGATTATGGCGTCATTTGGATCTCTAAGTTTTTCTTTGGCATCTTTGCGGAACAACTCACTAATGAAGCAACCGTCAAGTACCAAAATCTCTACAAATGCTTCCTCAACACAGCTTTCAAGTGGCCCTGCATAGCAGCAGGGCCGTCTCTAGAACATTTGTGACCCTAGGCAGGAGTTACTTTGGGGCCCTCTAATAATATAAGCATATATTAAAAAAATTATTATTATTATTATTATTTTTTGCCTTTTGAGATGAAAAATCACTAGGAGAGGCGGACATCAACCAGCAGGCTAACAAGGTTAGGTTGGTGGGGGGTTTTGGAGAGTAGATGTTGGAGAAGTGATGGGTGGTGAAATGGGTGATTTCCAATGCCAAGATTGATAAGAAAATGCTTGAGAAGTCATGGCCCAAAAGGTATCGATGGCCGACGATTGGCAGAGCAAACAGATAAGGTATGATAGGGGTTTTGGTGAGTGGGCTGAAGGGAGGAAGATGGTGGTGTTGGGGAAGGCCAACAATGTCGAGTACATGCCAAAAAGGCTAAAAATGGCTGTCGTGTAGTGGAGTTGGGTTGCGAGATTCATAAAAAATTAGTCAAATCGAGGGCTATCAAGGTTGGGAAATGATGAAATGATGATTTCATTCGATTTTGGTGAGAAAATCGACCGGAACCAAAATTGACCGAAGTCAACTCCAAACCACTGGCGGCAAAAGAGGGCTGGAGATGATTTATGTGAATGTCAAATTTTGGGATTGAATTAGGGGTGAGTAATTTGAGATATGTAAATAACTATTTTAGTCTTCCATTGCTAAAAGAGATTCAATGTATTAATTTAGGGGTATTAACTAGAATATATAAAACTAGAAGTACAAACTTGCTATTTTGTTAAACTTTGGGTGAGAATATATGTAAAAAGTTTATAATAAATTTGGATTTTTTTGGCTTTTTTTTGGGGGTCTCTTGACTTAGATAAGAAATTATAAACCATTTTTATTTTTGTAAGATATTAAAAAAAAAAAAATTTATAAAAAATTTGGCCCCCTTTGTTTTTGGGGCCCTAGGCAGGTGTCTCACCTGCCTACCCCTTAAGCCGGCCCTGCATAGCAGCCCCGCGCCTCTCGCTGAATCGATCTGATGGTTTCTGTGAGCTGACTATATTGCTCCTCTGGATTGTTTGATCGTGCGAGGAGGTCTCGCAAATACTTCAATTTTATTTGTTGTGTGGCTTCGAGTTGTTTGTTAGCTCTGTAGTGGAATGGCCCAATCGAGAATGCATTTGGCTTATATGCTGCTTTGTTGTGCCTAGAAAGAATTTTCGGGGTTTGAAAGATGGAAAACTTAGATGACATAGACAACTCATATGCCAATAAGTTTTCATAGGAACTTGGCAGTGGACTCATGACCATGTTAATCACAGTTTCATCTTTTTGACTCTCTGACGCCATAACAATATTCTCAGTGGCTTGCCTCTTTGAATTTTATCTCTGCAAATATATGTGAGAAAATGGAAAATGAAGAAAAGAAAAAACAGAGGAGCAGTTGTTCAACTAATAATTGAGAACAATGTTTCATTCATGTAAGTTGTATAAAAAATTCTGAGTTCTCAAAGCTACTGCCGGCAGTACAAGTTGAATTAATCTGAAAAGTATTTATAACCTAATGCTAAATGAAAGTAAAGAGATTCTAACTACAAATCCATAAAAAATAAGTAAACAATTCAAGTATTATCAAAGTAGATATTCTAACTAAACAATTTGTTTTATTTGAAATTAATTATATACAAAAAGAATGAACTGTTGGAACCACATACCAGTTCCAAATGCAGTGCAGTAGCTACAGAATTTGTGAACCTTTATTGTGGCAACACATTTAAATAAATGAGATTTCAGAATAGAGTTTGTGCCTTTATCTCCCTTGAGGATATGCAAAACTTCCAACAACCACGTCGGCTAGCAGATAGGCTATTAATAGGAAGAGTTTATTAAGATAAAGTGGATCCTAGAGATAGATTTCATTCTTTGCTTGTGTCAGTCGAAAGAAAAAGCATCTGTAACTTAATACAAAGTGAAAGTAATGAGATTCTGATTCAAAAAAAAGCATAAAAGATGCGTAAACAGTTTCAAGTATTTTAAATTAAATATGCTTACTAAACAATACGTTTTACATTTATTATACAGTTACCAGGTTCAAATGCAACTACCTGCAGACTGGATCAATCAGTTGTTTTGTCTTCTACTTCTAGTCATTGACAATGGGGGAAGTTATTAAAAAGACATTTGAAGTTTACATTTAATTAAAAGGCTATCAAGTTTTGAAATGTTAACTAAATAGCCATATTATTGATTAAGGGTATTAGTGCTTATTAGGATTAATGTACTCTTTCAAATTATCTATATTTCCACAAACCCGAAATTGTTGCAAATAAACCCAAAAACCTTCTTCTTCCTCCCGCCATTAACGATCTCTACCTGCATCTTCTTCTCTTCTTCTTGGCGTCGTCAACATCTTCTCTTCCTCTGCATCTTCTTCTTTTCCTCCTTCCTGTACATCTTCTCTCCTCATTCCTCTAATCTCTTCTTGTTCCTCCGCCATTAACACTTCTTCTCTCCACCATTAACATCTTCTCCGGCAAAGATCTCCCTCCTCCTCCTCCTGACATTTCGCCTAAGTATGTGTATCTCCTTTTTCATTTTATATTTAGATTTACAAAGATTTAATAATGGATGGGGTTGGGTTATGATTTTGATTTAGTTGTTAGGTTGTTGGGCTGTGTGTGTTTAATGTAGGTTGAAAGGAGTAAATTTGTTGAAAATTTGTTCTGGGTATTTATTCTGGGTATGATGGATCGATTGTAGGTGGAGATGACTAAAAATGTGTTCTGGCACGATGGATCGCTTAAGCGATCTGGTGTATCGCTTAAGCGATCCGGTAGGTCTAGTATGCACAATAATCGCTTAAGCGTCAGTATGTGGCATAAGATCGCTTAAGCGATCTAGTTAAAGTCTGTTGTATGGGAGCAGATCGCTTAAGCGATCAGTAATGGCATAGATCGCTTAAGCGATCACGGTTATTTATACTGAATCGCTTAAGCGATCAAGTGTATCGCTTAAGCGATCCAGTATAAATAACCATGATCGTCAAGCATACATCAGACCATATGCGAATGTGCAGATTCTTTATAAACTATTTGAACCCTTAGTACAGCATTTAGAATATTTTTTTTTCTTGCATTACAGGTAGTTGGCTATTTATACATGGGAAAAGTTGTTTGGGTGTTGAATATTTTGGTGAGTGGGTGGAGGAAGAAAGTGGTGGAAGGGATTGGGAAGAACAAAGAAGTTACACCATGCTGTGAGCACAGAGGTTGTTTTGATGAGTTGATTGATGAAATAAATAAAGAGGTAATTTGAGTTGCTCGCGTAATGATATAGTTGTGAAGTATGTTTTAAGCAAGCTCCTGAAAATTATAAGGTACCTCTGCTGTATTAAAGTCGGATGAAAGTGTGAACTTATTTATGATTGATATGGCCGATAGTGGTTCGAGGCCGATTTTAAGGGTTTCTTATGTAGAAAACCGTTGGAAGTTGGTTCCAAGGAGGGGATAACGAGGATGGGGCGAGATTTGCCTGGTTGTAATTTGAACTGCGAGGCCATTGATTTGTTAGCTGAAAAATCAAGAGTAAACGGTGAATTGGGTGTGGGAGGACACTATAGAAGAGGTTGGTTGGGGGGCAGAATGAAAATGTTGAGGAGAGGACCCTTAGATGTTCCCACAGATGTAGAGATTCCTTTAAATACAGATTATGCAGAAGGCGTAGATTGTGAGGAAGAGACACTATGGTCGTTTATGCAAGTTCAAAGGGGGCAATTGGAGTAGTAGTGGATCAGCTCATGTCTTTACGGATGGATCGGACTTGCGCATAGGGTATTTATTTGACACAAAGAGGAAGTGGTGAGGAAGCTAAAACTTGTTGCTGTGAAAGGTAATTTTGAGTTCATCACCAAAAAGTCAAATTCATTAGCTGTGACGGTTGCATGTCGTGACCGAAACTGCAGTGGCGGGTTTATTGTAGAAGGTTGGCGGAGTCGGAAAAGTTTATTCTTAGCACATATACCCGTGAGCACACATGTGGTTTGGACATATTTTAGGTGAGCATTGACAAGCGTCCGCTGATGTTATTGGACAATTTGTCAAAGTCGGTTCGTCGAAGGGAAAGGTCCATCTCCTAAAGACATTCAGAGACTTGTGCGCACAGGTTGGGATGTGCTTGTTAGTTACTGGAAATGCTGGAAAGGTAGACAACATGCACACGATTTTGTGGGGGCACGCCGGAGCACGGGTACGCAGTATTAGAGCGTACCGTTATATGCTTAAGTTGACAAACTAAGGTAGCAAGACGGCTTTGAAGTGGGACAGGAATATGATGTTTAATATTTTTTTTTTGTTGCTTATGGTCTGCTATAAGGGTTTTGTAAACATGAGAAAGGTGTTGGCTGTTGATGGTTGCTTTCTAACGGGAAAGTATGGAGGTACATTGTTGGTGGCCACTGCACAGGACAGCGAGAATCACACATATCCTGTTGCATGGTGTGTGGTTGACTCTGAGAATGACGAGTCGTGGACTTGGTTTTTTCAGCAGTTACGTACGATAGTGCCTGACAGTGGAGTTGTGCATATATCCGATGGCACAACTCTATAAAGAAGGGGATTGCCACTATTTACCGCAAGCACATCACGGATTCTGTATGAGGCACCTTGGTGGAAACATAAAACAAAAGTTTAAGTGTGCTGGCCTCCTTCACATACTACATGCAGCAAAAGCTTATCGGTTGATGTTTCGAGGAACACTTCCAGCAAATCCAATCAAGGATGTTAGAGTTGCTAAGTATCTTGAGCATGATGTTGGTTTCAAGAGATGGAGTAAAGCTTACTTTCCTGGAAGAAGGTTTGATGTCATGACCACGAACATAGCTGAGTCCATAAATTCGAAGTTGTTAATAGAAAGAGAGTTTCCAATAGTTGCACTTTTTGATGCAATCCAAAGGACACTGTCGCGGTGGTTCCATGAGCGTCGTATGGAGTCAGATAATTTTACTACAACCCTTGTTCCGTCAGCTGAAAAAATATGCGAGAACATATGGAACTGTCAAATGCACTGTTTGCCTATCCTCTAATGCTCAAGAGTTTACTGTGCACGGCTATGGTCCGGATGCCCTAGTTAACCTTGTTACAAAAACTTGCAGCGGTAAAGTGCTTGACATTCAACATTTACCTTGTCCTCATGCACTAGCAGCACTGAAACACCAACGGAAGCCGGATTTTGGTTCAAGAATTTACATGGAACTTTGCTCCCCTTTAATGACAGATCACTACATGCTAGCATATTCAGAAATGATATATCCGTTGCCTCCAGAAGAGCAGTGGGTAGTGCCGCCGATGGGCTGACATTATCCTCCAGCCGCCATTGAAGAAGACACCAAAGGGGAGAAAAAGGTTAGCGTATTCCATCAGCCTTTGGGTTCCCCGGAAGATGAATAGTGCTCAATTTGCAAGCAACCTGGTCACAAGAGAAGCAGTTGCCAGAAGTAATTAGGGTCGATTCGAAGAAGGATGAAATTATTGATGTTTTAATTTTATTGTTACCTTTAATAAATATTCTTTATATTGTGTATTCTATTACATGGTCAAATATTTGTTGGTGATTTTAGTTTGGAATTAGGCTGTCAAATTGAGAAAAGTATGGAATTAATACGTGTTGGTAATTTTAGTTTGTCAAAATTCAGGAGAAAAGATGCAAATGTATATATTGCCCACATCGCTTAAGCGACTAAGTGTATCGTTAAGCGACAAAGTGTTTTCGCAGAAGGATCGCTTAAGCGATAAAGGGATCGCTTAAGCGATCGTGCACCTGGACTGATTGTCTGCCCAGGTGCATGATCGCTTAAGCGATCCACGATCGCTTAAGCGATCCACGATCGCTTAATCGACCAGGGGAAAAAGGCAATATTTGCTTAAGCGATATCACTGATCGCTTAACGATCATGGACCTAGGCAGATTTGCTTCTGCCAATCACAGGATCGCTTAAGTGATCCATTGTATCGCTTAACCGATTCTTCTGCAAATAGTATTAAAATTTAACAGATACACCCCCACCTACCCACGGTGACAGATTCTTGCCACCGGAGCCGGAATCTGACCGGAAAGGGCGTTTCGATTCACAGTGGTCGGATCTGGCCGATAGGGCCTCTATATGGCCTTTTCCGCTAGATCGACCACGATGTGGCCGAAAAAGGCCCCACGATCCGCCAGAACTGGCCGTAACGAACGAAAAATCCCGAGCTTGCCGTCTGTGACAGCCAAATATATGGCCGTCGTTGACCGTCAAAGTCGGACATTCATTGAAAGTCCATACGGGAAGATGTGCCTTTTCGGCCATATCGACGGTGGATATGGCCGGAAAAGGTCACAACTGGCCATTACCGGCCATTTCCGGTCGTTCGTTGCTGTCGGCGGTAGCCGAATCTGGGAAGTTGGGTGGGTGGGGGTGTTTTTGTTAATTTTTGAACTTTTTCTTGGTATTAATGAAATTAATTCACTTAATGGGTCAAAAATTAATTAAAAATATACTAATATTTCCTAAATAATTAAGCAAACAAATATAAAAATAACTGAACGAATCATAAACCCTATATGTTTGATATAATGTAATAACGGAACAGTGCTCTGAACGAATCGTAAACCCTATAGGTTTCATACTGACGTGTAAGGAACTATTGTTTTATATAAATGTAATAACGAATAAGTGCTCTGAACGAATCGTAAACCCTTATAGGTTTCATACTGACGTGTAATGAACTATATGTTTGATATAAATGTAATAACAAACAAGTGCTCTGAACGAATCGTAAACCCTA